TCATGGATAGGCCAGGAAACCTGTGAGACTTGGTTGTCCAGTACAAAGAATATTACGTGGCTACTGGCTCAAGATCCATTAGAGACTCACCGGAAAGTTTAATATAGTCCAGTATATGATACTAGTCTCTGCTTATAATGAAATGGCCAGCAATGTACCAAAAGGAAGTTTTGGTACATTTGAAAGAAACCAACATTTACATTCAGTAAAAATCTCAAAATTCCCAACATCACAAAATGAGTAAGCCTGCCCAGCTATACCATCTTTGTAGAACTGAGTCATCAAAAGGAAGTCTGGTCATTAGTCTCTGCTGTCCAGGTCCTATCCAGTCACTCAGTCATTAATCTCCATGGCCAATCTACAGAGGGGTGCACTGCACCTTCATCACCTTCCACCACCAGGAATGGTTTCCCTGGAGTCTGCTCACATCCTTCTGCTCCTAGCTACTCAATGCAGTAGAACATCCAAATACTCAGCAGAACTTATGGATTTGGTGGGTGGAGAAGCCAGGAAGTTCTGAAGCCTTTGCTTTTGTATTCACTGCAAGGTAGCAGTAATATATGTGGTGGAAGTAGGGTTGAAATAAGCTAGTAAAGTTAGTGACGCCAAGCCTTGCAGATACAATAGCAAGTGGTAGGGCTTATGGAAAATACAAGATCTCAAGTCTCATCTAAAGCAGGAAGTTACTGTTCCCCTCTTCTCCATCCACCACATCTACTGTTTAGCCCGCCCCTTTCATAGAGAAAGGCAAGCCCATTTGGTATGGGTTGTCTGAAATTTCATGTAAAATTTTGATTTTAATTGTTGCAATTAGACCAAATTTAAGCAAGTTACTATGTGTACAAATAACCAAAACATAAATGGGCTGCCAATTAGTAACCTTTGTCCAACTGTTTCCAAATCAGGGTGTACCTGCTCCAGTGGGTTAAGAACATTAGGAGTTGACTTTCTGCATCTTTCCCATGTTGAATCTGAACAACCGGAGCTGCAAGGGTGGAGTTTTGTTATTTTGAAGTTAATTTATCACTACATGAATTATGCCTTTAGTTCTGCTGTTCTTCCAACTCTTCACTGACTTGTGTGTCTGTCACTCAAAAGGACCACATATTACCCATATGGGATGGGCAGATTATGCTAATTACATCTTAATTTACCACCATTAGGTTTGCTACCAACTAGGAAATAAAGCTACCATTTTACCACTGAAAATTACCATTATCTCCTCTCAGAATGACAGTCTCGTTGATGTAAAGGTGGAAAGGAATCTGGTTTGGACTTGTGTCAAGTGATTGGAACTGCAGCAAAGCAGCACCTTCAAACTCCCAGCCCCCCACCAGTTGCTGCAATTCCTCTGGGCAGCATTTCTCTCATCACTGCACAGTCTATGTGGTGCTGAAAGGCTCTCACACTGAAGCAGGGTCACGGCTTCTGAGTGTCCATAGAAGAAACAGTTCCCAGCAGCAAAGGTATTTGGTTAAAAGGACCATAAATATCTCCTTATTGTGAGAGCTGTAAGACCTGATCTTTAGTCTCTATTTTGCTTGGTTATTGTCCTACCTCTTATGGCACACATACTCCTTCCACCTCTCACTCCCACTCTCAGAATCCCTACATGCTGGACATAAGCTGTACAAAGACAGGAAAATGTCTGATTGACTATACTGTATCCCTCTGCCTAGAACAGTACCTGGTACATGGTAGGTGCTCAATAAATATCGGCTGAACATTGTGAACTGGTTGAGTCGTATTCATGTGAGCTGGTTCAGGAGTGGATTGGCTTCACGGCAGCGACAGGACTAGGTGCCTCACTGGCATTCCTTCAGCACTGAGATTCTGTGAGTCTACATGTTGAGAATCCCATAGGCTCCTGTCTGTCTGAGATAGCAGCTGCTTTCCAGAGGGAAGAAAATAAAGTTACCAGACAGATGGGGTGGAGGAGGGGCGAGGAGATGGGCGAGCAGTAAGAGTGTAGTGGCACCCCCTTTCTCCACAGAAAAGTCTTAACTGGGCTTCTCCAGAAATCTTCACCATGGCTGATTTTAGGACTGTCAGCAAAAGAGTCTCTGCAAAAGAGTTCAATGTAGATAAGCTTCCTATTTTCGTGTTGCCCTATCTTGCTTGACCACTGGCCAAGAAGAAATCAGCACTCCAGGTGCTAGACACCTCCTTACTAGTTTTTCACAAATGTATCCAGTATAGTAGTTTGTAGAAATGTGCAAACAAGGCCTCTGGCCTTGAGCAGGGGCTTCACAGAGATGTCTACATTTCTAAGATAAGAGAAGTTACCAATTGGGCTCCATGGTAACATCTGGCAGGGGGAGGAAAGAAAGGGGAGAAGAAGCTCTCCCCTTCTCAGGTGTTGTCCTACAAGGGTTAACTTGCCCAATACAGTGAAAAAGCTGCTTTTATGTGAACTTCTGCAGACTGTGAACTTCTGAGCCCCTCCCCTTACATGCTGGGTATAAAACTCCGAAACTACCTGAACTTGGAGTTCAGGGGATTAATTGATTGATTACAGCAAAAGCTTTGCCCCCTGAACTTGGCTGCAGCCAAATAAAACTGTTTCCTGCCATCTTTGGTGCCTTGCCTCATCTGTCCCTACAACAAGAGCTTCACAGAAGAGGAAGGGAGTCATTGCTAAGGGGTGATGGCAGCAGCGATGTGGAAGGAGCATAGTTACAGCATGTCTTTTTCCCCCAGGACAAAGGGGGCAGTGATGTGGAACAGCGCAGAGCAGTGTTTGATTCAGTGATAGGAGTGGTTGCTGAAGGATGGCATAGTGGTCCTCAGAAGAGAAGGCTCAATTGGGGGCCAGAATTAAAATCTGAAAGCAGAGCTTCCAAGTAGAACTGTTGTGCCAACAGGCTTTTGGGGTGGGTAGCAGATTTTTAGACCCTGAGACCAGAGGCACAGGCAAAGAGACCATACCTCCTTATTTTAAACTACAGATCCCTTGAAGAGACTCCACATCTCAATCACAAGTCTTACCTAGATTATGAAAAAGAGCTTTCTCACTGCTCATCCTGAGACTTCCCTGTAGCTAGGATAAACATCTGTCATCCTCGTAGGCATCACTGGCTCCTAGTCACTTTTTCACTGGAAGATGGCAGTTTCCCTCTCTCAGTTCACTCAGTGACCACACAGAGGCTGTAATAAACCAGGCCCACACAGTCCTGCATTGTACATGCAATGATCCACCCTGACACATCTCTGAGAATCCACAGGCCAGGCCACAAACCACAATACCTTATACCTTCAATGACATTATCTGTGAGATAAACCAAAACATTAACAAAATAAAAATAATTTTTGAAAGGGAATTTAAAGTGCTCCCACCCAAAAGAAAGCAAGACTGAATTTTCTCAGAATTCTGAATTTTTTCATAACCCTGAGAATTGAGACAATATTTCTTTTTCTGCTTACAAAACATACTCTGGGGCCTGGAGGTGTAATTCAGTGATACTTGCCTAGCATTTACAAGGCCCTGGGTTCAATCCCAGCACGACAAACCAACCAAAGAACAAAACTTGATCAGTGAGATCAAAGCACCAGGAATTCTGCTTTTCTACAATACTTTGGACTTTCCTATTTTACTTTAAAAAAAAAAGAATGTGGCAATGGTGTAATTTTTAATTTTTTGTCCTATCTACATAACTGACTTATGTAAAAGGGTATATGATTCCTCACTCAGTTCTCTAGTCAATATGAACCAGAAGAGCTTTCTTCTTTTCTTTAATGAGTATAGACTAGAATCCCTCAGCAAGGATGACAGAGGGGAAGTGTTTCTAAAGGAGGTCACAGAAGGGCAAGGGGAGGGTAGAACAGGGAGGAAGTGTGATTGTCCAACAAGAACTGCAGTCTTGCTGGTGGGAGGAACCCAGGGGAGGAAGTGATGTCTGGTTCCATTCTTAACCAGACCCATTTTCAATTCGCTTGGTGAATTTTAAGTGGTGGGCTCAACAACAACAAAATGATGGCATCTGCTGGCTTTTACATGATTTTTATACCTGGCAGGAAAAATACTGCATTATAACAACAGACTTAGAAAAAGCATTTTGTCTAGTCTAAGATCACTGAACCTGACACATTCAACAGACCTGCCAAGTTCTTAAGGTGAAAATAAGGAGCAGCATCTGAATAATAAAATCCTGTTACTGAACATCAACACACAGTGAGAAATTCCCCCCATCTTCAGCAGTCTTTCTGTAGGGAATGAGCTAGAAGACAAGAACTCAAGCATAAACCTACAGATGAGTCTTGCAGGAAGCATGCATCCTCCAAAGAAAGATTCCCCTTTTGACTTGTTACATAGCCCGATTGATATGATCAGACCTCAGATCTGGTTAGAGGTGACTTTTTGTTTTTTATTCCTGGGTGGGGCGTGGGAGATGAGGTGGAAGTGGGCCTGAGTTTATTTTTTAAATCATTTATTATCTTGGTTTTGTGGATGACTGCAACCTTACCTTCTCTGCCACCCACCTCCCCACCTTTCTTCCCTGGGCTCCATCCTTGAGGCTGAAGGAATCTGGAAGCTGCACTTCCTTCCCCTACCTAACCTTCTCCTTTCCCAGCCAGTGGCACACATTAGCTGAAGCCCAGCCTGATGTCTGACGCTGGTGGGCGCATCCAAGGCCGCGAGCAGCAGCCTTTCTTTTTTCCAGATGCACTGGAGATTTAATTTTAATTAACCAGGAGAGCTATGGCCCTGAGGATTAAATTTTCAAAATACAGCACACACTCGCTTTGTGTATGTGTGTGTGTGTATTTCCCTTCCCCTTCAATGCCATCGAGATTTTTTTTTTTTTAAAGAAAAGAAAAAAGAAAGAAAGAAAAAGGAATCTCACTCACAAGTGCCTGTGGACCCAAGCTGGTGGAGGATGCTAACTGCTGGAGGCGGTCGCAGGAGAGCGTGCAGCTGGAGAGAAAGCCAGGCTGCCGCCTTGGGGGCGGGGCCAGGGCGGGGCGGGGCGGGATCTGATGATCACGTGGGTCCGGCCCTTAGCCCCGCCCACCTCTGGGTAACTAAGCTGACGCAGCCCCGCGGGCGCTACACTTCTGACGCTCTGGGACTATGGTCTCCTGGACAAAGGGCAAGAGCTGCCTGGCTCCTGGCTTGCTGCAGAACCAAACGGCCATCGTCACCGGCGGGGCCACCGGCATCGGAAAGGCCATCGCGAAGGAGCTTCTGCACCTGGGTACGCGTGCAGGTCTCTTGACCTTGGCACCTAGAGCCTTGGGTCTGCAAAGGCCCGGCTGCGGTAACGTGTTTGGACGCCAGAGGCTGCTTGCGGGGCCGGGGTAGGGTAGCATTGTAAAGCAAAGGGGTCTTAGAGGTGGGCCAAATTACAACTTCGAGGAGGGAGAAAAGTTCTTTCTTGGAAATCATGGAGAAGCCTTGGACCTGGAGTCACTAGATGTAAACTACAGGGGCTTGGAGCCAAACGTACTGTGCCTGAGGTAGGCACATGCCATGGAATTGCGTATTTGTTTTAAAATTAACCTCTTCTAAATGCTGCCCAATTCCAGTGATTATGAAGCACGGCGAGGGCTCATTTAGTTAGAAAAGGTCGTCAACACATTGAGAGGCTCCTTTCGTATTATTTTCTCACATCTCTTGTCATAATCTTCCCCCCCTAAAATAGTAAATATCTATCTTAACTTGGATGAAAAAAGGACCTTGTAAATATACACAAGGAAAGAACCACCCAGAGAAAAACAGATAAACTTACCTGTCTGAAGACGTCACCCTTCAATGAGTTAAAAAGTTTAAAGGATTATAAAGAAAAAATTTACAACATAAGACAAATAGTCTTATTATATAAAGAGCCCTTACAAATACAGAAAAAGCCAATATAGTGATAGAAAAATAGGCTAAAGATATGACTAAGCATTACAAAAGAGAAAATACAAAGAGGTAATAAGTATCTGAGAAAATAATCAACTTTATGTGTTATAAAACACAAAATAAAACAATAAGATACTATTGTTTTTCTAACAGTTTAAAAACCTTGTACAAAATTGAAGTGTTGATGAGGGAGTGAGAAAGGCAGGAAAAATATATTTAGAAAAAAATTTCCAAAAGTTTTACAGTGTTCATGCTCTAGATTTAGTAATTCATTTCTTAGGAATTTACTCCAAGGAAACAATGAGGCAAGTAAAGATTTGAATTCATGGGTATTATATTATTCATGTAGTGAAAAAATTAGAAATAACCTAAATATCCAGTATGAGGGAAATAGTTAAATCAATCACAATGAAATATTATATTGACACAAATAAATCTTTCTATTGAAGACGTCATGTGGAGAAATGCATACCATATAATTGGACAAAACAAGATTATAAAGAAAATAGTATTTCAGTTTGATTGCTAATGAAAAATAAATAAAAAGACTGGATGGAAGTTTATAACATTGTTAGCATTTTTTTATGACTGGTTAAAATTGTCTTTTTTTAAATACACGACAACAGTGGAATACATTACAATCCTTATTACACATATAGAGCACAATTTTTCATATCTCTGTATATAAAATATTTATTTTTTTCCCTTGCTGTTGTTGGGGATCGAACTCACAGGGCTTCTTGCATACTGGGCAAGTGGTCTATTCCTAATCCTTCAATTTTTTTTTTTTTTTAGTGAACATGTAAATTATCTTGGTAACTATTGTGTTTCCAAGATCTGGCATGGTATGAACTAAGAAACAAAACAACAACAACAAACACAACTATTATATTTTAAAGAAATGGAAATAGATACATTTTTTTAAGAGGAAAAATAACATTTCCTGTTCTGGCTTTGGTTTTGCAGATTACCATTCCTGCCTTCTCCACTCCTAACACTAAACTCTGTCCCCTTTCATGAAATAATTATAAGAAAATCTGAATTGGTGATCATTTTATGGAAGGGATAGGCATTTGGCTTCTCTCAGCAGATTTGTAGGATCCTAGTTTACCTGTCAGAACTCTTAGTATATTTTCTTGCATTTGAGTTTTTTGTTTTTGGTAAATTTGTATTGGCCAAACATTATATCCTTGTGGGGAAGGTGGCAGAGTATTATTATGGCACAAACTGCAACATTAACACAGTGATATTGTAATCTTGGGATGATAATAAAAGTGATGGAGCATCTCCCAAGAAAAATATTTCAAATACTAAAAAAAAAACCAAACAAACATTTTTGTTGTTGTATTGAAAATGGATTTCCTTTAATGGAAGAATATAAAATAATTTTTGTTATGACTTTCTCATCTTTATTTTTTAATGACAATTAATGGTTATTTAGTGAAAGTTGTTATGTAAACCCAAATTAGGCAAATAGAATAAAATATTATCTATTCTTTTCCAGTGAAAAGGCCACTGTTTTGGGGGTTGAATTACAGCTTGAGTAAAATGGCGATTATTGGGTTGTCTTTGACATCCACATGATTTGGCTTTTCCTTTTGCTGAGAGAACACCAGAAAGCCCCAGCTAACAAGAGAAAGCGGTAGGAGACAGAATTGGATACCTTTTCTCTGATTGACAGATGCTATTACAGGAAGTCTTGATTCTGTCAAGGAATACTCAAGACTACTCAAGTTGAATTCAAGCCAGTCTTTTTGAAAAGTATTTTTATCGGTACATTATCATTATACATTCTTATATGTGTAACACATAATTTAGTTTGTTTCATTCTTCCTTATTTCCCTTTTACTTTCCCTCCTCCACCCCTTCCTCTAGTCTACTGGTCTCTCTTTTGTTTTTATTATTATTATTATTATTATTATTTATATATGACAGCAGAGTGCATTACAATTCTTATTACACATATAGAGCACAATTTTTCAAATCTCTGGTTGTATACCCAGTATATTCACACCAGTTAGTGTCTTTATGCATGTACTTTGGATAATAATGATCACCACATTCCATCATCATTAATAACCCCATGCCCCCTCCCTTCCCCTCCCCTCTGCCCTATCTAGAGTTCCTCTATTCCTCCCCTGCTCTAGCTCCCTATCCCACTATGAATCAGCCTCCTTATATCAAAGAAAACATTTAGCATTTGGTTTTTGGGGATTGGCTAACTTCACTTAGCATTATCTTCTCTAACTCCATCTCCTTCTGTTTTCATGAGGTCCCTTATTTTCCTTTTTTCTCTCTAGCTTACATATATCAGACAAAACACATTTTTACTTTGTCTTCAACTTAATTATTCTCTTTCTGTTACTCTAGCAGAACATGAATTAGATACGGTAGTTAAAAGGAAAGTAAAAGGCAAGTGGCAATTGTGACAAGACAGCACTTTTTCTTACTGTAGTGACTGATAGTCATCAGGGATTCAGAAGGTGCTTAATAAATGTGGTATTCTGAGTTGAAGATTGAAAGGAATTTGTCACCCCAAATGTTTCCTGTGCCCCTTTGTACCATTTGAAAGAAAGAACTTGATAAGTCACCCTCCATGATGTGAATTGAATTTTTTATCTACTGCTTTGTGGGCTGAAGAGCTAGCAGGAAAGTTTGTATATTATGTAGTTTCTCAGACCTAATATACCATCATCAAACTTGGCTCATGTTATTGAAGGACTGGTGGCATTTAACTAAGATAAGGCAACTGGAATTAGTATATGTTAGAATTGAGCAAAACAAGGGACTATTGTTCTCAAGAAGGTGGGAAGCATTTTATTTGTTTTAATTAGTTACATATGACAGTACAATGATCTTGACATATGGTACCAAAAAGAAAAAAAATGTATGTATACTTTAAAACCCACAATGCATTATTATTACTTGTGCTTTAAATTATTGCTGCTTTTTAAAGAGATTTGAATAGGAAGAAGAAAAATCTTCCTATTCACTCACTCACATAATTACCATCATGGATTCTCTCTTTTGTGTAGATTAAACTTTCCATCTGGAATAATTTTTCTTCTGTTTGAAGCACTTTCTTTTTTCTTTCTTTCTTTTTTTTTTTTTTTAAGAGCACATCTGTTCTGATGAATTCTTCTAGTTCCCATATGTGTGAAGAGGTCTTTTTTCTTTTTTTTCCCCATGCCCCCTATAGTGTTGGGGATCTAGCCCAGGACCTTGTGCATGCCAGGCAATCATTCTACCATTGAGCCACATCCCTAGACTGAGAAGTTTTTATTTTGTCATCATTTTTGAAAGATATTTTCACTGGGTCAGGATGATTTCTAAGTTCACAATCTTATTCATTTTTATCCTTTTCATAAAACAGGTAATGTATGCCACTGTCTTCTGGATTTCACTGTTTGTGAAAAAGTCCTTATCTTTTTATGTTCTGTATGTATGGCATTGTTTTTCTTTGGCTGGTTTTAAGATTTTTTCTTTATCAGGAGCTTATTTAATTGTACCATCAGTGATATTCTGGGGTATTTTATAAATTGGCTCTTCTTTTCATTATGGGTTGTTACTTTCCTGTTCCTTTGCATGTTGAATTATGGATTGAATTTTACCTTGTTGGATGATGACAATTTTTATATTCTTATAAGTATTCTTAAGCTTTTTTTTCTAGGATGAAAGTTAAGTTAAAATAGTTTGATACTTTGATGGAGACTCACTTTTTAAAGTTAAGTGTTGGTCTCAGTAATTAGTTTATGTCTAACTTAACCTCGCTATTGAGGCCATTATACACTTCACCCTGTGAAACATCTAAGCACCATCTAGGTAAAACATTTTTCCTAGTCAGCACAATAACTATTCCCAGTGTTGTTTCCCAGGACAGGGTTTGTTCCTTCTGCTCATTTTGGGAAGTTCTTTCTCTAGCCTGTTCGTGTATTTCCGTCAGTACTTTCGCTGAGGATTCAAGAAGGACTCTGCGGATTTTGGTGTCTCTTGTCTCTCTACACCCTGTATAACCAGCTGCTAGGACTTCTTAGACTTCCAACTTCATCCCTTCCACTCAGGGAGAACTCTGACCTGTGAATGAGTCCCTCCTGTGCTGTGGTCTGGAAGTTTTCTTCAGGTGATAAGCTGGCATAATCATAGGGCTCACATGTTTGTTTCTGCTCTCAGAGCTGACAGTTTGTAGTCCAGTGCTTTTTTGATGCCCAATGCCTGAAAACCATTGTTTCATATATTTTATCCAGTTTTGTGTTTCAGGTTAAAGAGAATTTCAGTTTTCTACTCTTCCATCTTGTCCAGAGAAGACATTCTGATTAGGTTTTGTTTGTTTGTTTTTGTTGTTTAAAGGAACACAGCACACAAAATGTCTTCTGTACATTATTATTGTTGGAATTTGACAACTCATGAAAACTTCTTTATTTGTTCTCTGCCTATTTGTTCCTAAGGGTGTAATGTGGTCATTGCATCCCGGAAAATCGAAAGACTAAAATCTGCTGCAGAGGAACTGAAATCCACCCTACCTCCCTCCAGCCAGGCTCAGGTCACTCCCCTGCAATGCAACATCCGTAAAGAAGAGGAGGTAATGCAAATATATCTACTAATGTATAAATGCAAATAAGTCAGTGCAAATATATCTACTAATTTTCATTAGCATTTGTGATGCCTAAACCTGGCTGTGCTTCCCGCTCTACTGTGGTAGCTATCTCAGAAAGGGCTAACAGAGCCTATAAGAAGATTTTTGGGCCAATGATTTATTGAACCAGTGACTCAAGAGAAGGGGATAGAAGAAAGCAAGACAGGGTAGCTAAGCAAGGATGTGTTAAAGGGCCTCTTGTCCTTTATGGCGTTTCTTTTTTTTTTTTTTAATATTGTTTTGGACTGAGGATTGAACCCAGGGGTTTGAGCCACATCTGCAGTTCTATTTTGTATTTTAGGTAGAGAGAGGGTCTCACTGTGTTTCTTAGTACTTCACTTTTGCTGAGGCTGGTTTTGAACTCACAATCCTCCTGTTTCCGCCTCCCAAACTGCTGGGATTACAGGCGTGTGCCACCACACCTTGCGTAAGACATTTGTTAATGTTCATTTTGACCTGATTTCATCACTATTCCTTATTCATGATTGGCAGGTCACAAATTAATATGCCTGAGACCTGCTATACTTAGAATTGATACAGACTTTTAGGTACATCTTGTCAAAATTACGATTTTAATTTTATGATATGTGAGTATTGGACACTAGCAAACTACTCATTGAGGTAGGAATTTTAAGTTTGCTCATTGCTGACCAAAAGTTCATTGGTTATAGTACTCAGAGTTGGTGTTCACTGTCAGAGAGTATAAGCTCTGCCACACTTCTAGAATAAATGAGCAGTCCAAATAGCAAGTTAGGTTACTAAACTTTTAATGTTTTTTTTAGGTGGATAATTTGATCAAATCTACCTTAGCTATTCATGGTAAGATCAATTTCTTGGTAAACAATGGAGGAGGCCAGTTCCTGTCTCCTTTTGAAGATATCAGTTCAAAGGGATGGCATGCTGTGATTGAAACCAACTTGACAGGCACCTTTTACATGTGCAAAGCAGGTGAGTGTCATCAATATCTGCAATATCTGTTCTTATGGAGAGAGGGATCATGGAGAAGGCTGAAAGAGAAACCTGTAGGGGCTCAGAAGCTTCATACCAGGAACATGTATTCCCCATTCATTTTTATCTAGGATCATATAAAACTTCATAGATTTTTTGTCTGTTTAGTTTCCTCTAATCTAAAAACAAATAAAAAATGCTCTTTTTGTTTTTTATTTTACAACATTGATTTATAGAATGTTCCATGTTCTGGATTTCTGTTACTGTTCTTGTGCTGATTAGATTCATTTTAAAGATTTCTGGAAAGAACCCAATATGTATGACCTATCTACTTCTTATTACATTACATCTGGAGGGCTGTAGTTTGCTGTTGTTCATCCTAATTGAATTTGATCACTTATTTAAGATCTTGACTATTAGATCTTCAACCACGGAGCCATATCCCCAGCCCTATTTTTTATTTTATTTAGTGACAGGGTCTCACTGAGTTGCTTAGCACCTTGCCATTGCTGAGGTTGGTTTTGTACTAGTGATCCTCCTGTCTCAGCTTCCTGAGCTGCTGGTATCATAGGCATATACCACCATGACCCTCTACCCAATGAGTTTTAATGCCATTTTTGATCCTTGTTAGAGTTCATTTCTAATTTGGAGGTTACAAGTTGATGATTTTTAAAATTAAGTCATTATCTATTTATTGACATCAAAATAGAATCTACTATTTTGCAGAAAATATGGGGGACAGAATTCATACTGAATGATAATATAGAGTGTGGTTGGCAAAATCCAGACTATAAAGAATTGTAATACAACCCAGCTACTTTAACCAAAAAACTACAAGTATGGAAGGGGGAGGAGGTGAAGGGGACACTGGAGGAGAAGAGGAGACATATCAACTAATGTGATATGTGGGCTTTATTTGCAACTTGATTCCTGCAGAATCAAGAAATGATTACACATTCAGAGAAATGTACACACTGAATGGATATTTCATGATGTTTAGAAGTTATCGCTAATTAAGTACTTTTAATTAAGTATTGAGATTATATTGCCAAAAAGGTTCCTCTAATTCAAAGATGAATATTCATAGATGAAATAATAAGATATCTAGAATTGGCTTCCAAAATTAGCTGAGAAGTAGACAAATGAATGGGAGTGTAGATCAAACAAGATTAGCTATGAGCCAGGCACGGTGGTGCACACCTCTAATCCCAGTGATTCAGAAGGCTGAGGCAGAAGGATTGACGTTCCAGGCCAGCTTCAGCAACTTAGTGAACCTCTGTCTCAAAATAAAAAAATAAAAAGGGCTGGGAATGTAGCTAATCTTTAAAGTACCTCTGGGCTTTACATTGTCATTCTGTCTCTTTCTGTTTATATTTGGCATTTTTATAGTATATTAAGGAAAATAATGAGTTCATCTTGATATCTCAATTCAAATCCAAGTCCTTCCTCACTTTTTCCCATTCCATGTTTGTATCTTTTCTGCACGAAAACAGGGTTTTTGTTTTATTTTATTCTTATCTTGAGAATAAGCATATAAAGATTATTTCCTATGACCTTATTTTAACAATAGAAAAGTCAGTTTTATACAAGTTTCCTGTGAGATATTCTTAAATTGTCAACTCTTGAAAGTATTTTAATTTTCTTGTAAGAGAACTCTTGATCTGTAAAGTAGAATGGTGGTTGTCAGGGTCTGGGAATAGGGGAATGGAAAATTATTATTTAATGAGCATGGAGTTGCCATTTTGCAAGATGAAATAAGTTCTGGAAATGGTTGGTGGCTATGTATGCACAATATCATGAATGTACTTAATACTCTGAACTGTAAACTCAAAATGGTTAAGATGGTAAATTTTATGTTATGAGTATTTTACAACCATGAAAGAAAATTGGAAAAAAAGAAAAAAGAACACTTAATCCATTTAGACTATGGGGTTTGTTCTCTAATTTGGATATTAAGAAACAACATTCTAGCTTTCTCCAAATCATTTTATATTACAATTACTGTGATTTCTTCTCATGTTGGTAGTTGCTTATAAATCTTCCATGTTTTAGGAAACATTCTTCTTGTACCTTTGCCTTTCTTCTTTTACATTTGTTCTTGGTATCTGTATCTTCTATTGGTTGTCTATCTCAGATAACTTGAAGAAATACCCACATCTGAACTCTAGAAAGTGTCAGAATTTCAGAAACAAAAATGATTTTAGAGTTGTAAACTATATAGTGGTATTTATCCTGAAGCAGAAAATCCATGTAGGGTAATTTAAATAAACTTATTCTCCTTTATTATACTATTATAAATGGTTTTATATAGTTTTTAACATTTGATTTGGCAAATGTTGCTTTGTTTCTTTGAATTTTCAAACTTTTCTTGGCTCTTCGTGACTATGCATTCTTTCAGATGAATTTTATAGTCGGGTTTCTTCCACAGAAATCATGTTGGGAGTTTGATTGAATGTTGTTAAACTTAATAATTTGAAAATAATTACAATATTTACATATTCAGTTTCCCCATCATAACTTATCTTTTCACTAATGAATCATTCTTTTCTATCTTTTGGCAAAGATTTGTGGTTTTTGTCATATAGATTTCACATTTTAAAATTAATGATTATACTTAGATTTTTTTTTTTGATATTGCTATTTTGAATCAGCTCATTCCAATTATTTTTCAGCTGGGTGATTGTTGGTTTATTAAGTATTTTTTTCAGGCTCATCTTGTAGCTTTATCTGATGATTTGCAGCTTTATTTAATGATTTGTTGAATTATCCCTTAGGTATTCCAGGATTATAGCATATTGTCTAAAAATAACCACTGTGTTTTAGTAAGTCAAAGGTATAATCACTTATGAAATGTCCCACCATTCTATGTTATTGAAAAAGTGAAAAGTACTGATAATTATAAGATGTCATTAATTATAAAGATATCCTGATTTTAGCAATGTGCAAATAATGTGAAAAAAAAGTGTCTAAAATTTAAGTACATTATAGTTTGTATCTTCCTTACTAGGGTTTCACCTTCATTTTTTTTTTTTTTTTGTTATTTTTAAAAGTTAGTCTGATTAAGTAATGGCAAGGCATTCTTATTTTTGCTAAAGCTTTAGGAAGAATTGGGTATCATTTTTCTCTGATATTTAAATTCTTAAAATTCCTATTTCTGTTGAAGAGAGTCTGGAGATACTTCTAGCATTGTCTTGTTTTGTGTGAATAGAATGAGTGCTTTGATATCAAATGGGGCCTCAAAAAATAAATTATTTAAGAATGAAGTTAGCAAAAGGAGTATCATACTTGTATGTCAAAACTATAAAACATTGCTGATAAATTAAAGAAGATTTAAGCAATGTAAGGACATTCCATATTAATGAGTTGAAAGATCCGATATTGTTTTGTTGTTGTTGTTGTTTTGTTTTTCTGTAGTGCTGGGGATTGAACCCAGGGCCTTGTGCATGTGAGATAAGAACTCTACCAAGTGAGCTATATCCCCAGCCCCAAGATTCAATATCGTTAAGATGATAGTTTTCCCCAAATGGATCTATAGATTCAGTGAATTCCTATCAATGTTTGTAGAAATTGAAAAGCTTATCCTAAAATATATATGGAAATGAAAAGGACCCATAATAGCCAAACCAATTTTGGGTTTACACTTATTGATTTCAAAGCTACTTCTTGATTTTAAGATGCTGTTATGCTGACATGCTGACATAGATGTGTAGATCAACCTCATTAGTCATTAGGAAAATCCATATTTTACCACTGTATACCCACTAGAATAGATATAATCAAAAAGTCGGACAATGGAAGTGTGGAGAAACTAAATCCCTCTGTATTTCTGATAGGAATGTAAAGTGGTGGACCCACTTTGGAAAATAGTTTGTTTTTAAAAAGTTAAACGTAAGGGTTGGGGATATAGCACAGTTGTAGAATGCTTGCCTTGCATGTACAAGGCCCTGGGTTCAATCCTCAGCACCAAAAAAGGATTTAAAAATTTAAACATAGAGATGTCATATGACCCTGTAATTTTACTTACAAGTATCTATCCAAGGAAAATAACATGTCTACATAAAGATTTTTATTCATAATCACCCCAAAGTAGAAAGAATCCAAATGTTTATCAGTGATTAATGAATGGACAAATGTAGCATATCTATACAATGGAATACTACTCAGCAGTAAGAAGGAACTATTCACACATTGCAATGTGGATGAACCTCACAGACATTATTCTAAGTAGAAGAAGCCAGATCCAAAAGACCTCAATATATTGCATGATTCAATTTATATGAAATATTCAGAAAAGGTTAATGCAAAATTTGTTGCTCTATAAAAACAAAGGATAAGTCTACCTAGGGATGAATTTGGCTTCAAATAGGTACAAAGGAACTTTTTGGGGTGATTTAAATGTTCAAAACAGAATTGTGGTGATGATTGTGTAATTTGTATATTTGCTTAAAATTATTAAAATATATATATATATATATATATATATATATATATAAAGTGGATGAATTTTAGGATATGTAAATTGTACTGTGATCAGGCTTTTTAAAAGAAGAAATATAAATTAAATTGGAAAGCATATCCAGTAAGCAGCATGCTGGAACAAGATATCAGGAAAGAGGACACTGTTTAAGATGATTGTTGTTTGTTTTCTGTAGTTTACAAACTCTGGATGAAAGAGCACGGAGGATCTATTGTTAATATCATTGTCCTTATTAAAAGTGGATTTCCACTTGCTGCGTAAGCATTTTTACATTTTATCTTCCCATGTCTTTGGGTTTTGTCCTCTGAATGGGGTTGATAGAGTGGGGTAGGGAAAAATACCCTCAATCAAGATGATTAATGCCTTCAATGAGTTGTGGCAACAATACTTAGCATTTCATTTTATTTGAAGTTTTAAAATGTACTTCTAAAGCATGCCCATTCAGATTAGGGTTGCCATGTTTACTGAGAAAGAGAAGGAAAACCAGGATGCCCAGCTAAATAATTTTTTTTTATAAATGTGTTTTAAGTACATGAATTGAAGAATTATTCGTTATTTATCTGAAATTCACATTTAACTGGGTGTCCTGCATTTTACCTGGCAACTGTAATCCAAATGTTACTAAACTACCCATCACTGATGGAGGACAGCTTCTGTGTTAAGGTGTGGACATGAAACTGAACTGATCTGTGTTAACTTAGATCTGAATACCATGAATATACCTATTTAATTTTAGACAGAATTGCTAAATTGTTATTCCTAACAAAAACCCAGATTTTTTTCCCCTAAAAGTTTCTAAGAGTTTAAACTTTTAATTAGCCACTCTACAAGTAGACAGTTTGTTTCCTTTATGAAAATTCTGATGCCCTATTTGCTTCCTGTATTATTCAGGACTCCCTTCAATTGTATGGGATAGAAATATAATTCAAGCTAGATTAGTGATTCTCCAAATGTGGTTTCTGGAACAGCATTGTCAGCCTCAGGTGAGAACTTGTCAGAACTGTGCATTCTTCACATCTGTTTTATCAGAAGCTCTGAGAGCAAGCTCTGCATCCTGTGGGATGCTGGTCCCTGAACTAGGGACGCTGTAGGTTCAGACATGATGTTGGCAGGAAGGTGCCCTCCTTTTAGCTTTGTTTCATTCCAAGCAGGCCTATGTGTGGCAAAAAAAAAAAAAAAAAAGAATACTGACAGGAGACAGAGGTCAACATTCCTGCTCTTCCTAACTCTCCAGTGAGAGAGTGCTTCTCAAATAGTGCTGAGAAAGATAATTCTAACACTGCCAGTACCAGCAAGTCCTAGAGAGGATTCCCATTAGCTGACTGTGTGAGTTAGCTTTTCATTGCTGTTACCAAAAGACTGACAAGAACAACTTAGAGGAAGAAAAGTTTGTTTTGGCTCACAGTTCCAGAGGTTTAGTCTATGATTGGCCAGTCCATTGCTCTGGGCCCAAGATGAGGCAGAACACATGGCAGAAAGGTGTGGCAGAGGAGCATGACTCATCTCATGGTGGGGTCTGGAAGCAGGGATGGGGAAGGGGCCTCAGCGAGGATGACCCCTTCCAGGGGCAGCCTACAGTGACTCACCCCATTAGTTCATTGGAAATAGGATGGGCCGATTAGGTTATAGGTCTCACAATCCCATCATTTCACCTCTGAATATTCCCGTATTAACACAGGAGCTCTTGGGGGACACCTCATATTCAAAGCATAACACTGACCCTGCTTGGGTCACGAGTGCAGCCATCAACCAAATCCTGTGGCTCTTCCATGCATGGTCATCCCAAGGTCTGAGGAACTGGGGTCAACACCACATGGACATGGACAGAGTATGGCCAAGGGGTGGGAATTAACATCACCTTACCCAAAAAGAGTATAGAATGCAGGCAAATTATGCCAAGGTAGTTCCTTTTCTGGCCTATTACCCTTTCTTACTTGTTTACCTTCCTTGGGTCTTACAAGAAATAAAATCAGTTCTTTCAGGCATTTCTCATTCACCCAGGCAAGTACTAATATTCGTTTTTGAGCATTTCTTTTCCCTGTTTATAAATAAAAGTTGTGATATACTAGAAACACTATTCTGTATCTTGCTGTTCTCAAATGCACAACATATGTTAGGGATGTACCAGCGTCCAAAGAGTTTTCTTCTTATTTTTTATGGTGATCTAATGTAATGCCACTCTGTAAAGCATGAAATATAATTTGTTCAACCCTTTTCTAATGCTATTGTTTGGACAAGGGTTCTTCAAAGGTCCATATGTAAAGGGTTGGCCCCCATGGCAGTGATATTGGGAGGTGTTGTTAACCTTTAAGAGGTGAAGCTGAGTGGAAGATTCTTAACTTATTGAGAGCATGCTCTCAAAAAGGACTGTGGGACCCTGGGTTCTTTCTCTGTCATTCTGCTTTCTGGCTTGAGATGTGATACTTGCTCCAAAAACGGCACCATGTGCCTCCCTTGCCAAACACCTTAATAAATTAGCTGCCCTATCTTGGACTTGAACCTCCAGAACAAGAGCCAAAATTAGTCTCACTTTATTACATAAATAGCCAGTTCTTTCCCCATTGTCTAGCAGAAACTCAATACAGAGACTCATAATGAGATTGTTCATGGAGAGTTTTGCCTGGTCATTGGTACACCTGACAACCTTAATTAAGAAGAATATATTCAACAAAAGTTTATTGTAATGCTTATCTTTTGTCCTTAAAGGCACAGTGGAGCTGCGAGGGAAGGTGTTTACAATCTCACCAAATCCTTAGCTGTGGAATGGGCCAGCAGTGGAGTAAGGATCAACTGTGTTGCTCCTGTAGGTAAATGCTGTATATGAAATCTGTTGACAAATTGTGCTCTAAAGATGCCATTTGTGCTGCTGTTAAGTTGTATTGTTGGTAACAAACAATCTAGCTTGCTATATAGGTAACAAATATACAAGTGTACTATAAAAGATTGACTTAAAAGATAGATTAAAATCTCAAAGTTGCATCACAGAAGTAGTCTTTGATTGACAATCAGTTTGTCAACAAGGTTAAATTCAGTGGGTGATTCTCAGTGTGTTTTATAACTATTTGCAAAATGTTAAATGATATTCATATTTGAACTTTACTCCAAATCTTGGAATCCAGGCATCTGCATTTTATAAAGCAGCCTAGAAAATTTATATTCATAGTGAAAGTCAAGAAACACTGCTTTGAAGAATAAATTTTTCTAGATAATTTTGTTATTGTTTTGGCTTATCATTAATTATTAGGAGAGGACATGATGTCAGGGTTCTGGAAAGGAGCTATCAAATCAGAAAAAAAAAAGAAAAGATCAATTAGAAGTCAAGAGAAAATTTCTCTGAATCATAATATAAATGATGGGGAAATTTATAATATACTTATAGTCAACTTCAAAAGCTCATTTTTATGAAGTAAGCTACAGCTAAGCCTCCTTGGTATTATATATTGGCCATGGATTCCAAGAGAGACATGAGATGAAATATCTCATTCATCCTGTACAACTTGGCTTAAATTCTACTTTTTCTATGATGTTTTCTGGTCATTGCTAAGATAGTAGTAATCTCTCCATCTGAAACACTATAATACCTCTGGATATTATCTATAGATCTAGTTTGCTATTCGGTAGAAGTTAAGTATGAACTGACTTGTTGAAGTTAGTAGAGAAACTTTCTCTCTAACAAAATTGCAAGCTCTAGCCAGAACCTCAGATTGCTTTAGTGTTCTACAAGTATATTACCTAATCCATAATACACTCAGATATTTATAGCACAAATTATTTACAGTGCCATTCTTTTTTTAATATTTATTTTTTTAGTTATAGGTGGCACAATTCTTTATTTTACTTTATCTGGTGCTGAGGATTGAACCCAGTGCCTCATGCATGCTAGGCGAGCGCTCTACCTCTGAGCCACAGTCACAGCTCTATAGTGCCATTCTTAATGTTGATATTGTGAAATACTGGTTTCTAGAAGTGTTTCTAAAAAGTCTTCAATGGTATTCAGTGTGAAAAGCACAATGTTAATTCTGTTTATCCTTTAGAGATTTTTTTTTAGGTTTAATATCTAAAATTTAGTACTTCTAAAATATTTCATCTTCTTTAAATAAAATGTTCTACATCACTTGATTGGAATCCAAAATATCTCCCTAGTATCATTTAGAGTGATTCATACTGAAGAAATTTCATCTTTCCTCTCCTTCTCCCCGTGACCTCTAGCTAGAATCTAGAGCAAATAGCGTTATCCTGTGACATACAGTTTTCAAGTAATTGTCCTGGCCTTATGCCCTTGAAAAGCTAGGGCAAGAGAGATGGAAGTATTCTGAAACAATTAAAGTTGTAGTTTATTTATTTTGGATTCAAATGTTTTGTTACTTTATTTCACACTAGGTGAAAAGGAAAATGCTTATTTCTAAGTCTCATGTAGGCATTGCCTAATCTTCCCTCCTGAAGCCGAGCTGCCTAGTGGAAGATAAAGTTGAAAGAGTGCCCTGACCTGTTGTTCCCACTTAAATGCCTCACTGATCTTATAGAATTATGCTCTTCGGAAACCAATACTCCTATGGAAAAAATCCAGGGATTGGCTGGTTTTTAAGGGAGGAGAGGTCACAGATGAGCACACAGGTGGTGCATCTGTGGACAGTGGTCAGCTATACCTCTTTGACAGTATTGGGAAAAATTAAAGATTAGAAATGTTCACTTTTCCAGTAAACTTAAGCCATGTAATTTTTGGTATTGATTGTTAGACTGCTTTGATGTCTTTACGATTAAAATTTAATTTTATATGCTTTTATTTCTCTTTTATGTTTAAACACAGGGAATGATCTATTCCCAGACTGCTGCTGACAACTATGGCGATAATGGACAAAGCATGTTTGCAAGGTCCTTCCAGAATATTCCAGCTAAACGAATGGGAGTTCCTGAGGAGGTAATGTGTATTTCTAGCATCCATCAGAGTGATTATGGCTTATGCATAGCACATGGTGTCCTGTTGAGGTGGGCTGGTTGCCTGATGGAGATTGTTTTTCTCACTGCCACCTACCATTTCTCCTGTTCTCTGGATCTTGGGAATATCTGGCTGTGTTTTGACTATTGATAACAGCCTTTACTGAGGAATGAGTGTAGCGCAAATGAAGAGCAGCGTGTTCTCCTTGTTTCAGTGTTTTTCAGCTACAACATTTTATCACATGGTATTTGTGAGTACACAGAACCCTATGAGAGTCTGATGGTTAGGGCTTTATGAAATTCCCATATGAGATTTCAGTATGTTGATTCAACCGGAGTATGTAAAAATCCATAGCTTTCTCAAATGCCAGCATTGTAATCTTTTTTTTTTTCATATTTTATTGGTGCATTGTAATTGTGTAATGCACATAATTACATAATGGTACATAATGGTGAGATTTGTGGTTACATATTCATACATGCACACAATACAACAATATAATTTGGCCAATATCATTTTGAAGTACTTCCCCTTTCCTTCCTGTCCTCTCTCCCTTTGGTCCCTTTCCTCTATTCTACTGATTTCCTGTTGATTTTATTGAGATTTCCCCCACTTTTCCTTTTTCCTCTCTAGCTTCCGAAATTTTCACTAATTTATATGATAGCATTTCTTGGATAGAGGTGAAATAATTTTGATGATATGAAAACTAACATATATTAGGTGCTAAAAAAAACAAACAAAATGAAGCAGAAGTAAGAAAAAAAAGTCTATGAACATAATGCCTAAATATACATTCTGAGTTTGAGTCTTCTTTTTCAAGAAAAGGAAAGAAATTCTTTTCTTTCTTTTTTTTTCACATCTTCATACATGTATTTTGTACAACAATGAGGGTCTCCTTCCACAATCCATGCAATTCCCCTTCTCCCTCCCTTTCCCTCCCACCCCTCTTTCCTATCTAGATACAATCTTCTTCCCACAGCATTATAATCTTAAACTGTAGTTTTTCAAAGGAAGGGTTTCTTTACCACAGTAATAATAAAAACTAAAATACCTTGGAGTAAACTTAGCTCTAAATGAAACAAAACAGAACAAAACAAAATGTTTTAATGAAGAACAGGAAAGACCAGAATGAATAGAAACATGTTATACCTATATCCACAGCTGTCAAAGTATATGGGCCCAACCCTGGGTGTTCCTAAAACTTTTTTCTTTTTTATTTTTTTCTTTTATTTATTTATTTATTTATTTATTTAAAAGAGAGAGAGAGAGAGAATTTTAATATTTATTTTTTAGTAATCGGTGGATACAACATCTTTGTTTGTATGTGGTGCTGAGGATCGAACCCAGGCCGCATGCACACCAGGCGAGCGCGCTACTGCTTGAGCCACATACCCAGCCCTGTTCCTAAAACTTTTGGGAGGGATTTTCAAGATTAAAACATTTTAGTTTCAGTAAAACCTGATTTGTCTTTTTCACTGTGTTGACATTGGGTTGACAGTACCAAAGCAGTGATGGAAAAGACAGCTGGAGCTTTAGCATGAATCCTGACTGCAAACCATACTGCACCAGTAGTCGTGATACTAGAAGGCCTCAGGAGTGGGACGCTGCAGGGGCAGTTTCACTTAGGCTTCTCATTGATGAAGCAGTAAAAAATATTAATTCATTAAATCTCAATCACTGAGTACACATCCTTTTAATATTTTGTGTGATGAAATAAGAAATACCAATACACATAAAGCTTTTCTGCTATGTATAGAAGTATAATGGCTGCCTCAAAGGAAAAGAACAGGCAATTGAATTGAGAATGGAGTCAACCACTTTTTTCATGAAACACCATTATTTTATGTGACAGAATGACTGATACTACAGTTATTCACACTTGGGTACTATGTTGACATTTTTTTCAAAACAAAATTGGGCTATCGCTTTAAAAGAAAGTGACTGAGAATATTTGTTGTCAAAGTTAAAATTCAAGACTTCAAGGGAAAATTAGAATTTCTGTGCACCTGTCACCATGGCTTTCCAGCTTCCAAATACTTAAAAGACTTTCCTGAAGAGATGGGTAGAGAAATATCAAATGTGGTCTTTTGATATTATATAATAAATTGTGTGTCCACAGTTAAGACACATAACTCAGTGAATCAATATTTCCAAAAGGACAAAATCACATCTGGGTGAAAGAGCCAAAGTGTGAGAAAGCGTTTAATAGAACAGAGTACAAGCAGTTCATTGCCACGGTTTCAGACTCCATATTGCAACTAATCTTTAAGAAACACCATTTATTGAATATAAAAAAGAAAATCTATAGTTATCTAAAAAGACTTTTAAAATGTTCCTTCTTTCCCAGCTATAAATAACTATATATATGCTAGAAGCCAGATCTTCTTCATATGCTTTAATCAAAACAACAGATTGCAACAGATGAATGCAGAAGCAAAAGTGAGAATCCAGCTGTTTACTATTGAGCCAGACATTAAAGAGATTTGTAAATATACCAAACAAATGTATAAAATTGTTATTTTGAAAATTATACCTGTTTTTACTTGAAATGTCATTTATGTTGACACATAATGCCTATAATGTTATATTTTAGGGCAAGAGAGATGGAAGTTTTCTGAAACAAATAAAGAGAGTTGAGAAAGGAAGGGAAGGAGAGATTTTGGTAGCTATAGTGAGATAAAGAATAAAGTATTGGCCTGATTGTGTTCTGTACCTGTAGGAAGATTGAACTTTTGCATCAGCTGTTGGCTGGCCTGTTAATCCATGAGCTATCATCTTTTAAGTGAAGGAGAATCAGGAGTGTCAGGTGTTTAGGAGCATCACCTTTTGAGAAACTGCTTCTGTTTCTATAGGCTCACTGATATAAATTCTTTCTTTCTCTTTAGTTTTTGGAGTAGATGTTGCTGAGCTCATCAATTGACTCTTAAGATTTTAGGGAATGCAGTGGGATTCTGAAGTCCCTCTTCTAGAAACTCGTGCTGTCTGTGTGGCTGCTGAGTTTTGGGCCAGACAGGACCATGCACTGAATACATCAGAATGCTAGTGTGTTGCTACACAGACTCATTGACTATTTCAGGGACCAAAATATAAAAGGCATATGTCAGTGATGGAAAAGGGGATTGTGGTGGGAAATGGAAGCAGGAAGAAGCAGAGATGCAGCCCTGTGTTCACTTTGGGCTTCTTTTTGTGTGTCCTCCTGGATACTCTCTAAGGCTCCTTTGTGTCTCTCTGCCTCTCCTCTGATGGATTACCTGATTTTAATAATGTTCAAATAGAAAAGGGAAGCTTCCTGGGTACTGGCAGGTTGTGGCTTGCACATGTAGGAGTTACATTACAGTTATGTGGTTTGAGATGAGTTTCCTTGGGAAGGTGAAGCACATAGAGATGGAAAGAGACTCTGCTTTTATGTGCACGTGCCTCTGTTTCCAGGTCTCCTCCATCGTGTGCTTCCTGCTGTCTCCTGGAGCTTCCTTTGTCACTGGACAGGTGGTGAGTGTGGACGGAGGCCAGTCTCTGTACACACACTCATACAATGTACCAGGTGAGTAGCTAGGGAATGAATAGCCACTAGCTGTAGGCCTTTTCATGTTTAGGTGTTGGCCACTTAAGTTGTAGAGGTTTACTCCTGTAGGACATCAAATGTGCAAAATGCTTATCTTCAGGATATGATTTCCAAGGCGACGTTCCCAGGTGCAGAAAATACCTCGATATATTTATTATAGATCTTAACTCTAAATATTTAAGAAGTTTTTGTGTGTGCATGAGTTGATGGAATTTGACCCTTGAAAAACTCTCTGAGTACATCTGTACAAGGAATGATAGAGAAGAATCAAGAGGTTGCCATATATTTAACTCTTCTTTTTTCCTCCAGTAAGTGGCTTGCATATCTGAACAGAAGAATCAGTGGTATTGTGCTGTTTTGCCCTCTCTTTAGGATACATGTTAAGTGAAGTTATATAATTACTATATTCAGTCATTTTGATATATATAAAGAAGTTTTTATAGTCGTAATCAAATATTGATATTACACAAAATGTCTTTATGTGTGGGATATGTTGATGTGTCTGTGTGTATGTGTTGTTCGTATTTAATGGCTAGACCAGAGATCTTTGAGGTTAGAAGTTTTCTAAGAAATTTGATAGTCTAATATCATCACTTTGCAAATGACAAAACAAATCCACAGAAGCTAACAACTATAAATCACTCAAAACACACAGAAAGAGATACAAAATGCAAATATACCTGGCTTTCTGTTGCTAAAAATAGTTGACTAAGTGGCTACAAGCTACTTAAGGTGTGGTTAATACAACCCCTTCGAGTTTAAATTTCATTATCAGAGTCCCAGGTTCAACTTACTCTTACTAAGTATTATTCTAGTCCAAGCATAAGATTTCTTATACATTAATAAGCGGTTACCTTAGAACTTTAATTTTACTTATTATTGTCCCCTCCCTTATATATTTCTTTACTAAAAGATGTGCATGGTAATATGTGTAAGATACTATGGTTCTAAGGACATAAGACAAAAATGCCTGCATGGCTATGCCTCATTGTTTTGAAAGTATTTAAAATAGTGAGAGTAGTTGAGAACATTTCCCTTTCCCTCTTTGGTAGACTGAGTCAGTATTTGTTAGGGTGAGTTGCATTGTTTTTCTTTTAGAGAGGGAAAGAAATACCCAGGTGGTTGCTTCTCTAAGTCTCCCACAAAATGATTTACTTCTAATACTGTTTTTATCAATACAAAATATTTTTTAAATTTTTGAGGAGAGTAGTTATGTCTACTTTTTAGGAATGTGCTGCCCTACCTATTGACTAGGAGCATTCAGACTTCAGTACAGGGTTTTAGATTGCCAGCTTGGAAGTGAGAATCCCTGGGATAGAAACCTCACCCCGCTTATCTCAAATGTTGAGTTTTGGGGGAAATTAATTTCTGTAGGCCCCTCTTTTCTTTCCTACAATGCAATGATACGCATAGTATTTATTTCAGGGGACTGTTGGAAAGATCAAATTAGAAAATGCACGTGTCAGATAGGAAGTGACTCAAATTGGCCTAATATCAAATGGAATTTGTGTGCTGGGGTTGTAATGCAGCGGCAGTGTGCTTGGAAAGCAGGTGAGATTTGACTGAAGTAGCTCAGTGATCTTATTGAAGACATTTTCCCCTCCTGTTTCCTCTGTTTTTGCTTCCATGAGGTCAGCTTTCTCTCAAGCCTGGCTCTCTTGGTGGTAGGATGGCTGCCCGCTGCTCCTAAGATCACCTGCTTCTTTTTGTTCATATCTAGCTAGGTAGAGAGCAAGGAGTAGAGAATGACTTTGTCCTGGAATTAATTTAAAAAATATCAGTATTTTTTAATCTACTCTGTTTTAGACCAGCTCAAGCAAATGCCCATTCTCAACCAATATCCACAGCCAGGGGGATGGGGAGCACTGAGTGACAACTTATAACCCCTCACCACCAAACCAGGGCAGGGTCACTCCTCTGACCCTTCTGAATTAAAAAAAAAATTAATAAATAGAGCCTCTTGCAAAAAGGAGATGAGGACTGGATGTTGGGGATGCAATTATTAATACCTGGTGCACAGTTACCACATTATTTTAAAATTATTACTAAGCAGATACAACTTATTGAATGTCTGCAGTATGCCCAGCTCTGTACAGATGGTGTCAGGTTTACCCTCACAATTTTAAAAGATTTTGTTAGATGATAAGACTGAGGCTCCAAAAAAGTAACTTCCCTAAATTTGGAAATGCTAGTGAATGGCAGACCAGAGCTTCAAATCCAGGTCCCTTTGTAAAACCTCTGGACTTTGTTTTCTTTCTTTTTTTTTTTTTTTTGTCGGAGGGTACTGGGTATTGAACTCAGGGACACTCAACCACTGAGCCACATGCATCCCCAGCCCTATTTTATTTAGAGACAGGCCTCACTGAGTTGCTTAGTGCCTCACTGTTGCTGAGGCTGGCTTTGAACTAATAGTCCTCCTGTTTCAGCCTCCTGACGGGCTTAGATTTTGTTTTCTTGCATGAATGCCCCAGAGAAAATAGAAGAGGACTAAGTGGGAATTAAGAGGACAAAGGAGGTTAAGTTTTGCTAACTTGGAGTTTTCCACTTAACAGATCATGACAACTGGCCTGAAGGAGTTGGTGACCTTTCTCTTGTCAAGAGGATAAAGGAGTCTTATAAAGAGAAAGCCAAACTCTAAGCCAAGGAATATCAGCTGTCTTTTGTTCCTGAGTGCCTTAACATCTTGAGAATGTGCATCTGCGCTTTATAAGAACTTATAATTTGTTTGGGAAAAAAAATCACTTCTTTTTAATATTATTAATTGTATCTTTTTAATATGATTAATTATATCTTTTTAATACTATTAATTATATCTAAGCAAAAACTGTTCCTGAAATAAGTGCATTTCAATGTCTTTGATTCTGTGATTATTTTTTTTCAAATGACTTTTTTTGGTGGTGGTGGTACTAGGAATTGAACCCAGGACTTCAGGCATGCTGGGCAAGCACTCTACCACTCTACCACTGAGCTACATCCCTAGCCAGCCCTTGTGATTAACTTTTTTAAAGAAAGAGATGAACATGATTAAATCATTCTCATTTTAAAAGAGGTATTCAAAAAATGAAATAATTTTAAATTAATAATAATTAGATCATGAATTCTCAGGTTTTATTATTGAATTATAATTGGAAAATACATCTAAATTGTGGTATACTTATGATTGTTACACTAGAGTTATACAGTGACTGCTTTCTGATGGCAAATTCTTTTGGAGCAATAAAGCCTTGTGGTAGCTTCAATTCAGTTTCTTTTGTTCATGAAGTCAAATTTGCATTCACCATTGAAGCTGGCTGCTTGTGGATGGTGGGGCATATGATACAATCAGTGGTTCCATGGTTAGGCATCTCCTTTGCCAGGAGTGGGTTACCTGGTGGGATGCTTTGTCACATGAGGTATGGTGCCCACGAATGATGAGGCTTTCTATAAGCTCTCAGATAGAGGTGGTACTGAGTTCCATAAGCAGAGAAGGTAAACTCACCTGGTGCACAGTTACCACATTATTTTAAAATTATTACTAAGCAGATACTACTTATTGAATAAATAATAAATAAATAACCTGGTACCATGAGGAGTGGCACAGATATCATGCTGAAATTTGAATGGGGGACATTTAAAATAAAGATTTAGTAACTATAATAAGAGATTAGTATCATGCAGGATTGGCTAGAAAGGAGTAAAGAGAAATGAGAAGATTATGAGAATAGCAGACGTGAGGACCAGCCAGCTGTACTAGGGGTGAGATGGAGCACAAAGAAGAGCCCTCCCAGGTCTAGTAGATTGAGCACAGCTGTGGCTTCATGGATGGCAGAGAACTCACTGTAGTGTGCTGCTGATGGAATTTACTAGAAATCTACCTTTTATGGGAAAACTGCATGAGGAGATGTCTCACCTGAAGCCCAGGCTGTGCAGCCACCTGAGCGTGGTAGTTGGCAAGTCTGGTGTTGCTGGCCCTGGTGTGGGAGTGACCTGCACTGCAGCAGTGTGGGAGCAAAATCATCTTTTTTTTTTTTTTTTTTTGCTAGTAACCCTCTCCTAGCAAAGCCTCAGGGCCAGCTGGCAAAGGGAAAACCACTGGAAGGGTCCATTGGTCTCCTTAAGAAACAGGGCCACATTGGGACTCAGCATCCATCTCTGTTGTAGTTAGGTTAGCAGTTCAGAGGCAGCAAGATTTGCACCTGCCTTGACTCAGGGGAGTCTGTTTTGTTAGCTTTTGCATTGCTGTTATTACCTTTTATGGTTGAGATATGAGGTATCTCCCAAAAGCTCATGTGTGAGACAGTGCAAGAACATTCAGAGGTGATTAGATTATGAGAGTCGAAACCTACTCAATGGATTAATCCACTGATGGGGATTAACTGAGTGGTAACTGTAGGCAGGTAGGGTGTGGCTAGAGGAGATAGGTCACTGGGGGCATGCTTTTGGGTTCATATTTTGTACCCAGTGAGCAGAGCTCTCTGATTCCTGCTTTCTGATTGCCACATTCTGAGTTGCTTTCTCCCATCGTACTCTTCCACCATGATGTTCCACGTCACCTTAGACCCAGAGCAGTGGAGTTGGCCATCCATAGATGGAGACCTCTGAAGATTTTTCCTCCTCTACACTGTTCTTGTCAGGTCTCTTGTTCACAGTGACTAAAAAAGAGTTGACTAAACAATACCCAACAAGAACAACTTAGAGGAGGAAAAATTTCTTTGGGGCTATGGTTTCAGAGGTCTCAGTTCCTAGACAGCCTGCTCCATTGCTTTGAATCCAAGATGAGGCAGCACATCTTGGGGGAAGGGCCCAGAGGAGGAAAGTTGCCCAGCTCCTGGCACGGTCAGGAAGAAGAGAGAAAGGAGTGGGGAAGAGAAGGGAGCACAGGGAAGATGCACCCTTTCAGGGCACTCCCTAGCGATCCACCTCCAGCCATGCCCCTCTTGTCTATAGTTACCACCCAGCCATTCAAACTGGGATGGACTGATTAGGTTGCAGTTCTCATGATACAATCATTTTACTTCTGAATATACCTGCATTAACAGGAGCTTTGGGGGACACCTCATGGCCAGACTACAAGAATCCATGCTGTTGGGCCTACTTGCAACTTCCCTCCATTCCTGTGGCCATTGCTACTAGTTCTAGGTGGCCAGGCATGCAGACCAACTAACATTGGCTGGTTAAGCCAGCTTGTCTACTTGGTTGTTCTCTTCTATGATGGTGCTTCCTGGGGAGGAGCGTTAATGTGTGAGACAAAAATAACACTTTGTGCCCACTCCCCTGTGTCTATCCACAATCCTCCACACCATCTTGCTCATTTTCTGGCCAATCGACCTGGCTATGAACCACATGTTCAGGAATCTGTATACATTCTCACATCAGACTGCCTTTCTTTCCAGTGTACCTATTAGTTGCAACACTTGAGTTTGCCCACTAGAAGAATTTTCCATCTTCACTATCTTATGGGCCACCTCTGGTGAGGCTGTAAGGAAGTTGTAATAACTGAAGGAGAGAGGATTGGGTAGGCAGAATCTCAGATCATAGCACAGTCCAAGGAAGGGTTAACCAGGCTGTTGGGAAAGTCAGAGCTACCCATTGGAGCAGCTCCTCATTTCAAGAATAGGTCTGGACGAACAGCCTGACTCTGCTCAGGCTATGACTGAGAACAGCCCAAGAGCGAATACAATGGGGACTCCTGAGTGGCAGCAAGCTGAGCTGATTGTCATCAATTATGTTCTCCCTAGCAGGAGATCTAAGGGGTTCATTTTCATGGCTGCCATATGGCTTTATCCTATAACCACAAAGTGATCATGATGAACTCCATTAAAGTTTTACTGTTTAGGGGATGAGCTTGAAAAATGCCTCTAGTGGTTAATTATGGAACACCAGCCTGTCTGGGCTTGCTTTCCTGGGATTCAAAGACAGGGCTGCAAAGCCTCCATCTGAGCTGTAGTTCTTTTAGTGTTTTTTCTTCATGCCTTATTTACAAAATTAAACCAACTATAGCCAAGGCTGGCATATTATATCAGCAGTTAGTGACTATGGTCCTTGTTCTCAGACAGCCCAAACCTCCAGTTACCTAAAGGGATAATTTGAATTGTATTATGTGGGCTAGAGTATTTACTTTGTATGATAACAAAGGCCCCCTGCTGGTTATTGGTTTTTGCCAACTTTTGAAGAGCTTGGCTGAACCAAGTGAGTACATTCTTACACTTTGCCCTGGTGGGATTGTCAGGACCCACCAGGTCCCATTGCCATCAGTGTTCGTGCTGCACTCCTGGGGGTCTCCTCTGCCCCCCTGTTTCCCTCTGCAGCCTGTTTCCCTCTGCAGCCTCCAATCTTGTTCTCCTGGAGAATGTCAATTCCCTACAAGGAAACATCTTGAACCCCCTTCTGGCTGAGGCTGCCAGGTGCTGAGTTACTAACAAACTTCCTGCTTACCATTTCTTTGCATCCTGTTCTTCCTTATTTTGCCTTTTCTGTCAGTTCCTGTAGAGCTCTGTGAGGATCTTCTTTCTATGAGTCACAGATTTTCAAGCCTACTGGTGTCCTACTGCCTGGGTTCAAGTCCCAGCTTCTACTACTTGCTTGATAAAGGAATTTGAATATGGATTGGTTATCATTAGGTAGTGAATTGTTGGTCATTTGGTTAGACATAACAATGTCATGGCAATTTTAAAGAATGTCCTTACTCATTAGAGAAAAAGTACTGATGCTTAGGATTTGCTTTGAAATACTTTAGTTTAAAAGAAATGGGAGGGAGGGAGGGAGGGAGAGAGAGAGAGAGAGAGAGAGAGAGAGAGAACAAGAGTGGCAGCATGGTAATAACTGTTTAAGCTAGGTGACAGATACATTATGTTATATGGTTAATTCTATTATATCCACCTTTGTGCAAGCTTGAAAATCTCAAAATAAAAAAATTATAAAATAAAAACAGTCGTTTAGTTGTTTGGGGAAGCATGGGGGGAAGAGTTAGCTGATCATATGTGTGTTATTGGAAAAAAATAAAGAGTTTTCCTTGAGAACTTAGGAGCTTTTGGGGGGGCACAAATGTGGCACAGGAAGTAGGAACTTGGGTTACAAATGGACTATAGATTTGGTGGTAAAAATTATTGCTTCTTCACCTGGATTCTGCTGTATAGGAACTGGGGATAACCCATGTGCTCCTTTGTTAGCCTTCCCCACTCAAATTTTTACTCAAAAATTAAGGCCCCTAGAATAAAAGGTTAATTTTACTTTAATGGATTGCTCCCAGGAGAAGAGTGGGAAGGGAGGGAGAGAGAGTTTTATCTCATTTTATTTGAGGTGAAATTGTCATAAAATGAACCATTTTTAAATGAATAATCCCGAAGCAGTTGGTACATTCACAGTGGTGTACAACCACCTTCTCTGTCTAGTTCCAAACTCCTTGTATATCAATCCCACACTTCCCATTCCTTCCCCCTCCATCATTGCTGGACTTACCTATTTTGGATATTTCATATAGCTCGAGTCATACAATTGGTGACATTTCACGTCTGTCTTTTCTCATTGGTGAGTGAGAAAATGTTCATCCACATTGTTTCACATATCAGTACTTCAAGGGAAGATTTTTAATCACTGTTATGTGGCTGAGGCTGCCTCTACTAGTGGACAGAATATCCTGACCTTCTATCTAGAATGTTCGTTCCTTTCTAAGAGAGTTTTAGTGATAGTGCCTGGAGGACTTAATCATATATTAGAGCAACCTGGTTAAAAATTCCTGGTTTTCCAGAGGAAGGAAATCCTGACCTTTTGGAACCCCCCACAAGGATGAGTTCAGATCCAGGGGTTGCAAAGAGGGGATGCACCACACACATGTTCCCTCAGGAAGGAAGAAGTCTGTCCACAGCCAGCCCTGTCAGAACCTGAGCCAAGGAGGGGTAGCTGCCTCACACCCATTGTTACCTTTCCAGGTGGCCCTCATCCAGAGCTCAATTACCATGGGCTATAAAGGCCCAATTCACCAAGGCAGAACAGCTTTAAAGTGTCACT